TAGACCCTAAATTCCTACCTCCAAATATTAATATAACAATATAATTTAGTTATTTACTTAAAGCTAACTAAACTGGTACTTAAACATTCACTGTTATTTATCAAAAATAAAAATTTATAAGAATCAACTATTAGCAATCTTTGTATCCACCAATTTATAGGTTAATTTTAATTTATAATGAAATATTTTTATAAATTATTCTTAAAATAATAAATAAATAGATCTATGAGCTTAACTTTCTACTTTTAGTTTTACATAGAGATATGCGATCTAGGTCAAATAACTATTTTTAATGAGCCTGTTGATTTACAACTCGTTTCTAACCAGCTTTAAAAGTAAAGCCTAAGTCAATACAATTAATCAAGCTTTCAATATGATATTCTCCCTTTCTCCTTAGCATCTAACTAAACCTTTAATATGAGTGTACATTTTTATATTAAAAATACCTCCTAAATTATTCATAAAAACAAAGATTTTCATTTTCAAATTTAAAATATTACTCTTCAATCTACTAAAATATTATTAAAATTAAATTATTTATATTTAACTACATATTTTTAAAAATAATAGTTGATTTTGAATTTGAGTTCAGATAGTAATATTGTTGCCATCTAAAATATATCTGTTAATATTTAAATTACAGATTTGTATTTGCAAATTATTGGAGGCTCAAGTCTTAATTTAGGCTATTAAAATAAAATGGTCTTAAATACAGATTCGAGAGATTATGAAATTCAAGATCCAAATTAAGCTTCAAATATCAACTTTAATTGGAAGTGTAATAGCCTATCCTCTAATGACCATATCTGCTATGATTACTAGAATAAGTAGATTTAATTGCAACAAGGGTCCAGTAGTATTACGTTTCCTGCTAAAACCTTTTAGCCATACACTATAATTTAGTTTACAGTTTTTGGATAAAAAGATTCAAGGTAATCAAATTTCACTACTACCTGTATATTGACAGAATTAGATATTCCTCCACTAAATCTTATAACTGCAATACACATTAACCGAAAAATTAATTTGAATGATGATCTTAATTTTTAAATAAATTATGGTGAGAATGTTTCATCAGATTACTTGTCTTATGCAGGAGCTATATTATATGATAATAATCCAGTTGCAGCAATCAAATTTGACTATTTCCAAATTAGATTCAGAATATGGAACTATTTTTAAAATATAGATCCCTCAAAGCCCACACTTTAAATAAGATTTTCTGTGTATAATCCATTATATGTTATGCCAAGCTTGTCTACAATTAGTATTTAAATTAATATTCCTCCACAGAATTGCGTTTTAAGTATAAATCCCTTACAAGGAATAGCACTTGAAACTATCTTTTAGATTTAATTATTGAGTTGTACAGATGAAGATCTTCCTCTAACTTACTAGTTTTTCTATTACAATAATGCAGATGATGCCAATCAAGAATTAATTTCACCTTGGAATATTTTAAGAAGATAGATATAAGATTAGACTATAAATAACTCAATTTAAACAGTCCTACCTTAAGGAAATCTAGTTTTTATGGTACAGGTTATGGATTCTTACCTCGGAGTTTATAATACCTCTTCTACAATATAGGTTCAAGCTTAGAATAAATCAGCTGACGAATATTATAAACTGGTAAATCAACAGACTTTGTAAGTTTTATAGAGCTCAAATATATAAATCACTAACTAATTAGTGACTTTAAGCATTATAGCAGAAGACATCAGTAAAAACAATTAATTTTCATAGCAAATGAATGATTTAGAAACTCTACTGATTTAAAATATATAGCAATTGTCTCTCTAAATACCTAAATTCTCCCTTTTATCTACATTTGCGAATAAAGTTACTGCTTAGTTATCATAGCTTATCTTTAGCTCATCTTAATAAAACAATGTTGCCTCATAGAAAAATAAAATATTTGATTAACTGTAAACAATACTCCAAAATACTAATTCAAGCATACAAAATAGTAATCTGAGTCATTTACAACAAAATAACGACATTTAAATTTAAAATATGGTAGACTCCTTTAAAATTTTAAACTCAAGCGTTAGTTTGAATAGTAATAACTCATACGAAGATTTTTAGTCATATGATAAAATATCAAGTTAGATTGGAAATCTGCTTAATAATATTAGCTTACCAAACTAAGGACAAATTATTCTAAATGGTGACTTGTCCACTCTTTTGTCAGATAAAATAACATAGAAAAATCTATTCAAATATGTTGTAAGTACTGATGATTACAATTCTGAAAATTAAACAAGCATATTTAGTATTTCAAGAAATAATTATAAGTAAAATATTTATGAAAATACTTCAGATTTTTAGGCATACACATAGCAATTCAAAAATATTAGTTAAAACTTCACTTACTCTAAGAATGAAGTAATATCACCATAGATTTATAATTCATCTTCTTAAACAATCTTAAATCAGTCTACTATTTTTTACTAATTTAATAATACAAATACTAGTAAGTTATATAATATGACATGCCTTTAATAAAATAATCTTTCTTGGAGCAAATAAAATTGTGGTATGACTAAAATTACATAAAATCGCTACTTGTGCAGCTGTGCATCTTAAAAACCAACAACCATCATTGAAGATATTGATGATATGCTCTTAAAAAATAAAAATTTGTAGACAGCATTTGGAGAATAAGGGCTGTTAAATATAGCAAGCTTTGAGAACTTTTATATGTATATAGTATTTTGGCTATTGATAAGTTTCACAATTATTCAAATTATCTTATTTATCATTGGAAAATTCTTAGATAAATAATCAGTAAATATAAGATACTAAAAAGTTCATATTCAAGAATTAAATAACTAATTGTAAAATTAATAATAATAAGTGTTGAATTAACAATAGTAATTTATTGATGATAATAATTAAAATATTTGTGAAAATACTTAAATGATAAATGACGATGTATTCCAGCACTCTCCTTTTACTCATCAGTTTAAGAGTAACGAAAATGTCTAACCAGAAATTTAGTAAAATCAATAGATTTTATCACCTCCCGATTAAAAAATAGATAATTAATTTAATAGAAAAAAAAAAAGATAAAAATTCCTCAATTTATAAACATAACAAACCCAAAGAAACTTAAAAATATGTTAATAACAAAATATTGAAATGAATGAAGAGAAGGCTGAATCTAACTAATTGCAAATAATAAAATAATAATCAAGCTCTAGAAGTGTTGAAAAAATAAAAACTCAAACAAGTTCATAAACCTAAATAAAATAGGTTTAAGATGAATAAGAAATCTAAAAAATAAATGTTTATTTGTAACTTCCTAAAGCGAAAAAGGTAGCAATTTTTCATTAATTCTTTAGTATATTTTACATTTTTGACGATATCCTTTAAAGACCATTAAGATTCACTCTGCTTTACTTAAAAACAATACATACATTAGTTATTTCAATATTATTCTAAGGTTATAATATGCTCATTTAGTAGGTAATAATAGCCATAATAAACAGTTCATTAATGAAGATTGCTTTTTTAGGAATTATATTTACTTTCAAAAAGGGTTCAATAGGTAAAACTGTTTCTCTAATTTTGTAAATAGGAATAAGCCTAGTTTATTACTATGTCATATTAGCGGTATCTAGTGGCAAGACTCCAAGCGAGTCAAATTAATTTATAATCCTATTTATAATATCTTTTCTAACAGAAATGGTATTCATAGAGTTAATAAAGTCATTTTGTATGATCTTGCTGATTCAAAAATACATTAAATGCAGCAATGAATCCAAAAGTATTTTTGGTAAACTGTATAATTTATTTGATTTAAAATAAATAATACTTAATATTGATGCTTGAGTCAACTTTATATTTTTATATTTTTTGTTTTTCACTTAAAGAAAGAAGATCGATCACCTTTTAAAATTACTTGTTTTAAAATTATATTAATTTTTTAGAATTTAGTTTATTTTGATCCAGTTTAAATAAAATAATTTCTGTAAAGTTTTAAATATCATCAGTTTCAGTTTGTACTTTGTTTTTAGCAATTAAAATCGATTCCTTCCTACTATTTTTTTAGATAAAAACTAATGAAAATGCTAAGTATTCAATTTTTTATTTAAAATAAACACTGTAATTTCTCTAAAAATTAAGAAAACTTTAAATTTTTTTTAATTTTCTCAAATAATTCATTAAATTTGAGAAAAGGCATCAAATAATCTCTTAAAAAAATTTTTCAAAATTTAATAAAAACAGGTTGATAAAAAAAATTTAAAAATAGAAAGAGCAAAATTAGCTTAAAATCATAAAAATTAAATGAAATATCAACATACCTAAAAACACGTGATATTTTAATTAATTACAGGATTAGTAATATAATATTAAAGAAAGCTAAATATTTGGTGTTATTATAATTATGTATAAAAAGGAGAATTTAGATAAAATATAAAGGATGGATATTGAAAATGTGAACTTGTTAAAATCAATAAATTTTTTTGATGAGTTTTTGTGTATTTATTTGTGTAATTAGATTTATTTACTCTCATATATTTTTGAATTGGTAAAATTAAAAAATAATTAATTATAACTCTTACAAAGACATAAAATTCAAAAAAGTAATTAATCTAATTACTCAAAAATTTATTTTATTCTAGTGAGTTCTCTTTCTCATTCATTATTCTTAATATCCTATATCTAGTTCCTGCTTTATTTTTAAGTAAACATTTTAAATAGAAATATTAAGATTTAACGATTATTGTTTGTTACACAATCTTTTTTGTGATTTCTCATACTAAAAACAAATTTATATATTTAAATAATCTATTTGTCCTTTTTATCAACTTATAATTAGTTAATTAATTAAATTACCATAAATTGCTTTTCAATATTTTAGAAAAAAAATAAATGATATAATAGGTTAAATATTACGAAAAATTAGAAGAAGTTATTATTTATTTTTTTATCAATATCTTTTAAATTTATATTTACTAATATTAAAAGTTTTTAATGTCTTCACTTTAATCTCATTAGGTTCTCCATATTAATCTGAGATCTATTTAATTTATAAATATTATTATTATTATTTTATTTACTATATATATATATAATTTTCAGTTTATTTAAAATATTATTTTTATAATAGATATTATCCCTTATATTCATTCATTTTATTTATACAAATATTTTAGTTATTTTTATTTCAATCTAAATTTTTTAAATGAATTATCCATTTTTTATTATTTGATATTTATATTTGTTATTTTCCTTCTAAAACTTACTTTTATATGATAAAAACAGTTTATTTGTTTTGGATTGTGATATTATTTGTTATAAAAATAAATGAATTGAAAACAAGATAACTCTTTTAATTTATTTGTTTATTAGCTAGCATTTTATTTGATTTACTTTTCTTTTTCTTTTTTATTTATTGGACTTGCTCTTTTTTTCTTCTATCTTTCAAAATTTAATTCATTTTTTTTATTTTCAACCAAAATTTACTTTTATTAATTATTAATTCATTTTTATATTTTTTCTTTATTTTTTCCTTCTAAACAACTAATTAATTTTATATTTTTTCTTCAATATTTAAAAAGTTACAATTAAATTGATGAAGAAAGTGCATCATTTTTAGGTTTTACTTTAATAAATTGCACTAATCTCTCAAACAAATTTGATAATTGGACTTAGGTAAAAACATTTTATTTGTTTTTGGAATTTTTAATTATAAAAATGAATAAAAACAAGATAATTCTTTTAATTTGTTTATTAGATTTTTATTTGATTTACTTTTCTATATTTTTTTGACTGTACTTGTGTTTTTTCTTCTTCTATCTTTCTTAATTTAATTCATTTTTTTATTTTCAACAAACATTTATTTATTTTTATTAATTATTAATTCATTTTTATATTATTTCATATTTTTTCTTCATTTTTTCCTTCTAAATAACTAATTAATTAATTAATTAATTATTTATTTTTTCATCAATATTTAAATAGTAAAAATTAAATAGGTTCAATATGTGTATCAATCTTAGGTTCTGCTTTAGCAAATTGTACTAATCTCTCAATTTTGTCACTTGATCTTTGGTAAAAACAGTTTATTTGTTTTGTTATTATTATGAAATTTTTAGTATTATTATTTATTAGTGATCGACCGAATAAGACTTTTTTTGATTCGGCCGAATACCGAATAATTTAATAATTTTAATTTTAAAAAAAGTAAAAAAACTTCTTAATTTTTGGCTAAATCTGAAGACAAAACTCTATAATATAAGGGAAGCAAAATATATGTATGGCATATAAAAAATATTTTTTTTATAAATTGTAATCAAAAGCATATTTAGTTAGCTTGATAATAGAAAAGACGGTTTAGTTAAAATTTATTAATTAATTATTCTTTTAAATAATATAAATTAAGAAAAAAATTAGGATTTCTTTCTTTCTCTTTTCCTTTTTCTATTCAGAAAATTATCTAATCACAAAAATTGCTTTTTATTCATTGATTATATTGTAAGTAAATTTAAATATTAAAGTAGAATCAAATTTAAGATTAATTGATTGATACTTAGAAAACCTTAAGGATAATTATAGCAAGCCAATTATACCATAATAACACATTACCTTAAAAACAAAATTTATAATCCTTGAGGAAAAAAATAGGTTAGGAAGAATTATTACTGAACTCTTTTTAGCATACTAAAAATAAACAAATATTCATCATTAAAAAATTTATAAAGATGAAAAATAATGAAATGTTATAGCTCTCTTTGATTGAAAACCATGAGGAAAGATTAAAATAATAAATTTAAATGAAAAATTGACAAAAATATAATTAGTATCTAGTAATACCAAACAAACTTTATTTTAATTTAATCCAAAAGCTAATCAAATAAAAATAAATAAATAAATCACTTCTCTATGGGTACATTTTATGTTTTTATAATAAATATATTTTATTCCATAAAGTTAAATTATTTTTGAATGCCTTTTTTATAATAATTATTAGGTCTAATTAAGAAATTATTTTTATTAAATAAAAAATTATTAAGAATATTAATTTTAAATTAATGAAGGAATTAACAAATAAATAAATAAATAAATTAATCTAGTCTTCATCAAAAAGTAAAATAACTACAATAAAATGCTCGCTCATAAATTATTTTTAATTAATTACAAAATTATTAAACATAAAAATTAATTAACAAATTGATTATCTATTCAACAAAATAAATTTTGTGGAAAGAATTAATTTTTTTAGGTGTAAAATTTTTTGAGAAGTAAAATGAAAAAATAGAAATAGTTTTTTATTATATTTTAACATTTATTTGCAGAAATAAAAATTTTGATCAACACTGGAAATAAATAAGAAATAGGCTTTTTCTAAGCTTAAGCTAGTCTAATCATAAAGCAAAAAAAGTAAACTGAAAATGCTCATAAACAAATAATTAATTACAAAATTAATGAATAAATTAATTATGTATTTCAACTAAATAAATAAATTAATTTTGCAGAAATGAATTAATTTTTTTAGGTTTAAAATCATTAGAGAAGTAAAATGAAAAAATAGAAATATTTAATTTATTTTATTTTAGAAATAATTAATTATTTTGATCAAGACTGAAAAGAAATTAGAAGTTGCCTTATTTTTTCTAAGTTATAGAGGGTCTAGAGTATAGCAAAAGCATATTACACTGAAAATGCTCATAAATAAATAATTAATTAATTAAAAAATGAATGAATACACTTATTGATTGATTAAGTATTCAACTAAATAAATTTTGAGGAAAAGAATTAATTTTTTAGTTCTAAAACCTTTAGAGTAGTCAAATGAAAAAATAAGATTTGTTTCTTAGTTTTATTTTAACATTTATTTAAAGAAATATATATTTTGATCAATATTGAAAAGAAATTAGAAGTAGGCTTTTTCTAAGTTCGAAAGTGTCTGTCTAATGGTTTAAATTTTATTCTGAATATAATTTAATTCCTTTTAAGTATTTTTAGAATAAAATTATGTAGGTCTTCAATATAAGAATATTATTGATGTAGATTATCAATATGTTCATCAGTTTATATGTTAAGAAACTCTTCTATAATATGTAATTTTTTTTTTTTTGACATTCTTGAAGGTTAAAAAATTAATATTTTCTTTTAAAAAAATTAAGCATGTAATATTATAAAATAAAAATCTATTATAAATTAAAAATAAATATAATTTCTTAAATTTCATAATTATATTAAAAAATTATAAAATAAATATTTTTTGATAAAAAGCAAAATAAAATTATTAAAATAATTAATCTATTTATTTTATAGAATTTATGTAAAATTATTTTTAAGTTTAAAAATAAATTAATAAAGAATAGATTGTATTAAAAAGGGGTTAAAAAATTTCTAATTAACTTTTGTAACATTATTTACTTTCAAACTTTTATTAAGCATTCATAAGATTTTAATTAATTAAATCATCCTTTTTTTGATCCTGTAATTTTAAAAAATAATTTTCTTTTATTTTTGATAAAATAATAATATATAGATAGATAAATACTTCAAAATAAAAAAATATATTTCATCATTTTAAAATATAATATTTGATATTCTTAATTTTAGCTTTAACATTATTAAGTAAGATAAATAATTAATAGATGAGATGAAAATAAATGGATAGTTAATTAATTAATTAATTAATTAATTAATTAATTAGTTATGTAATAGCTACTGCTTGAATTAAGAATAAGTAGGATATTTTGTTCATAGAAAACGCATAAAGAATCCCTAACAATTAGATTAACTAAATATTATTTATGATCATTTAGCCGCTGCCTAATTAAAAAATAGCGAGTTACCCAAAATGAATGAATGAACACTTGAATTAAGTAAATCCATCAAAAATTAATTATTAGTAATAACTTATGATAATAATAAAACAAATATATATTTTTCAATAGATCTAGAATTCAAATATGTCTTATAAAAGCCATTTATAAGATAATAAAGTTTTACATAGAAAACAATTAAAATGTCTAAATTGTATTTTATTTTATTTAACAAGTTAAAAATTGGTTTATGTATCACCATATTATCTATTTCCTTGCCCTTGTATTAAGGTGGAAAAACAGAGGTTTTGAGAAATTTAAACAAAATTTTAGGGATCCATCCCTCAGCTACTCAGTCGATAGAATTTATTAAGAAATAGGGTAGTTTTTGTTTATTAGAATGTAAATATCACTTAAGATGAAATAGTAGAGTGGATCCTTAATTTAGAACCAAATTGAAATATTAATTAATTAATTTTCATCGAATAAATAGTAAGATAATTTTTGATTTTCTTAATTATGAATATTGATTCTATCTATCTATTTATCTCTAATTCTTGATTGGGTCTAAGTTTCATTCAATTTTGCTTTATGATTAGAAAAACATAATCAATTATTTAAAATCCACTCGTATAAAAATAGCTAAAACCATTTGGCTCCATTTTTCGAAACTTTCCTGAAGGTAATGCATGCATGCAAATGGAGGATTATTGTTGAGAATGGGATGGAAATAAAGCCTTAAGCATAATTTTTTAATATTTATTCATGTGAAGAATTGGATTTTTTATTGCATTTATTTGCAAGTTACAAGTAAGTGTTTGTATTGTATTGTCTTTAAAAAAGAGTTTTACAAATTTAAAGATAAAATTTATTTTTATTTCAGTTTTAAATAGATTTATGAAATTTTTAAAATATCTCTATTGTTATTAGTTAGATAGTTAGTTAGTTATATATTTACTTTTTTGACCTCCATTTTTGTTAATTATTGATTAGACTTAATAACAAAGAATATTTTTTAAATGTAAATAAGCTTTCTACTTGTATCTTTAAGTTAAAAATGATAATTAAAATAACAAAGACAAAGAGAGAGTAAATGAAATATTTTAAATAATTAATTAAATAATTTTAATAGATGATTTTTTTAAAGAATTAAAAAAAATATATTTTAAAAATTGACAAAAAAATTTAAATGAATGTAATCTTTAGTTTTTAATAGCTCTCCTACTTTACTTTTCAAAAATCAAAAATTATCAGATTAATTGATTACTATCAATAACCATCTAATCCTTATTACTAATAATATAATGCTGCACAAAAATTTATTTATTATAAATAAGAAAAACTAGAATTAAATTTCCTACATGGCTAATAATTATATTGGACCTGCTTGTTTATAAAACTATTTTAATAATAAGAAATATTTAAAAATTGATGGAAAACATTTTTATAAATTTATTTATTAATTTATTTGTTATGTAATAGCTGCCTAACCAACCTACTACTTTATTTTTCAAAAATTAAAGGCTGGAATGAGTTTTAAGAAATAATCAGATTAATTGATTATTATCTGTAAATATCAAATTATTTTTTAATAATAATAGATAGATAGAATGTTTCACGAAAATTAATTAATTAAAATATAAGATACAGATTCTATGAATTATAAGATGCTGAAGCAAATAATCTAGGATTTTTATTTATATATTTTCTTTTTTATAACAATTTTTAGATTTTTGAAAAGGTTTTTCAAATAGTTATTTTATGATCACCAGAACCCTTAATTTAAATAAAATATTTTTGAAATGGTTTTATTTGTAATTTATAGTTTAAAAGTAAGTATGCAGAAATTCCACAAGATAAATGGTATGTGATGATCTTAATAATTAATTAAGTTAATTTGTTTTTTTTTATTGATTTAGGTTTGGATATAAGAACTGTATGAGCTTTGATTTTGATTTGGGTAAAAACAGTCTGTTACAGTCTTAATTTCAATTAAAATAATCTGTAACTAAAAGAAAATAGTGAGTGGCTTTAAGCCCGCTTTTTGACAGATAGATCGCTTATAATCATTTACAGCAAATTTTAAATCTCCTACCTTTTTAATAAGTATTGCATTGAATAAAATTGTTATTTTTAAGATTTTCGCATCTGAAAACAGTTTCAGAGGGGTTTATGAAGTTAAAATTAGAGTCTAATTTAATATAAATTCAAATGGTATTAATTTATTTTTTATTTTTATGATAATCAATTAATATTAGTATAACTTACTTATAAAAGGCATAAGGGATCAATTTATCTTATAATGTTTAATTAATCATAAACAATTAATAATCTAAATATCCTAAAAATAAACTAAATTAACAATGAAAATTTAGAAAATCAGAACATTTCTCTTGGTTATTTTATAAAGTAGAATTTTAGATTAATAAATTAAATAAAAAAGAAATAATTTCTTTTTATAATTAAACAGTCTTAAAATACTTATATGCAGATTAATATAGAGATTGCACCCAAGGAAATGTGAATTATGGACTTTTTAATCCTAAATGTAAACTTTTCTTGAGTTATTGCTTGATTATTAAATCATTTTTTATAAATTTAAGTTAGCTATTGCATAATTAATTAGAGAAGCAGTTTTATTCAATCTGATATAGACAGCATAAAACAATATTTCTCAAACATGAATTGCTTAAATTTAATGAAATTTCCGTTATTCAGTGGAAATTACTTAACAGGGAATAGTTGTACTTCAAATAGTGATATTATAATACAATATACTCCCTAAAGCACGTAATAAAAATTATGATATCAAAATTGAAATCTTTTGTTAATCAAAAGTTCACTTTAGATAAATTTTTTATTAAATCAAAAAGAGAATTCACAATATTTTTAATGTTTTAATTTTATATTCTTATAATTTTTCAAATATTTTTTTAATAAATTAGGAATACAAAGATATATTCCTTTTTGTTTGAGTATATTATTTTTGTTGTTATGCCTGTTAACAATAATTTATAATCGGTAGTTGAAATAAATAAAGTCTCTTAGCAAAGCTCATATGGATATTAAACTTTAATTTCAGAATCTTACTCTTAAAATTACTTTAGTGTGTTTAATAAATAATTAAATGTAGATAGTTTAACAATTAAATTAACACCTTTTAATGTGAACATTGGAAATTAATATCAAATTTATTTTTAATAAATCGGTCTATATGTATAATTGGTAAATTTAATTATTAAATTTATTAATAGAGAGATATTTTTTTCTTGGTTAATTAATTAATATGAAAAAAATATTTAATTAAATTAAGGCTAGACAGAAAAGGTATTTTTAGAAAATTGCCGAATAAATTTTTTTGATAATTTTTTTGCTGATTCGGTCAAATTAATTTATTGAAAAAACTTATTCAATCTATCTAGCCTTTACTAAAATTTATAAAATGCAAATTTTATATTACAAAAAACTTTTCTTTAAATTTTTTAATTTTGAATTCTCTCTTAAAATATTTATTTAACATAAAATAAATAGTGCCAAATAAATTGTTACTAATGTGACTCTAATTAGGTATGCTTATAATGTTATTCTGGGTACTATTATTAGCAAAATACAAACTAGTGTATACCTTGTGATAGTAACTAATTTGTTAATTAATTCAACTAATGCTAATCATGTGATCCAACCTGTAAAACTTGTAATGGCCCAAATCCAAATAATTGCTTATCTTGCGTAATTGGATTGTATTATAACTAAGCCACAAAATAATGTATGATTTGTGATCCAACCTGTACAACTTGTGATGGCCCAAATCCAAATAATTGCTTATCTTGCGTAATTGGATTGTATTATAACTAAGCCACAAAATCATGTATTTGTGATCCAACCTGTAAAACTTGTGATGGCCCAAATCCAAATAATTGCTTATCTTGCAGTACTGGACTGTATTATAACTAAGCCACAAAATCATGTATTTGTGATCCAACCTGTAAAACTTGTGATGGCCCAAATCCAAATAATTGCTTATCTTGCAGTACTGGACTGTATTATAACTAAGCCACAAAATAATGTATTTGTGATCCAACCTGTAAAACTTGTGATGGCCCAAATCCAAATAATTGCTTATCTTGCGTAATTGGATTGTATTATAACTAAGCCACAAAATCATGTATTTGTGATCCAACCTGTAAAACTTGTGATGGCCCAAATCCAAATAATTGCTTATCTTGCAGTACTGGACTGTATTATAACTAAGCCACAAAATAATGTATTTGTGATCCAACCTGTAAAACTTGTGACGGCCCAAATCCAAATAATTGCTTATCTTGCGGTATTGGATTCTATTATAATTAAGCCACAAAATAATGTATGATTTGTGATCCAACCTGTAAAACTTGTGATGGCCCAAATCCAAATAATTGCTTATCTTGCAGTACTGGACTGTATTATAACTAAGCCACAAAATCATGTATTTGTGATCCAACCTGTAAAACTTGTGATGGTCCAAACTCAAATAGCTGTTTATCCTGCAATCCTGGATTGTATTATAATTAAGCCACAAAATCTTGTATCTGCGATTCAACCTGTAAAACATGTGATGGCCCAAATTCAAATAGTTGTTTATCTTGTATCTCTGGATTATACTATTAGTAAACTGCAAAATAATGCGTAAAATCCTGTAATGAAAACTAATTTTAAAATTAGTTATTATAGCAATGTTAAGCATGTGATAATACTTGTGCAAGTTGTGATGGAAAGGACTCAAATAATTGTTTAAGTTGTTACCCTAACAGCTTTCTCTACAACTAAAATTGTGTTAGCCTTTGTCCAAATGGGTTTTAAAGAAATTTTACTACTCTTACATGCGATTCATGCTAAAATTATTGGAGCCTATAATGTAATCCCTGCTATGCCAACTGTAAACAATGTGATTAGTCATAAATTTAAAATGAATAATGCCAGACTTGCTATAATGAAACAAGATAAATAGATGTTTCAAGTAAAAGATGCATTTGCAAAAACTAAAATGATAAAAGGAATATATTTTATTAATGCAGCTATGAAAATATTGCTGTTATTGATGCAAAATTAAATGCTACATCTCCATAGCTTAGTATTGATTTCGGATCTCCATTGATGAATATCATATCAAATACATCTTAGTCTTTGTGCTCTTAGTTATTTGACTAAGCAACATTAGGTATACTTGGGTTGGATTCTTAATGCTAAATCAATGGGAATAGAATTTTGGTTAATTTAAGTAGCTTATTTATATTAAATATAGTTTTCAACTCATTAAATTAATTTATAAATAAATACTTTCATTTTTAAATATTTTATTCTAAATTTTATTTTATTTTAATAAATAGGCGACTCATCAACAATCATGGAAAATAACTCAATTAATTTTTTGCCAAATAAGCTGCAGTTTATAGACTATACAGACACTTTCATTAACACATTTTATAGAAACATTACTTTCTAAGATTACCCTGGAATTCCTTAACTTTAATTTAGCTATAATCACATAGAAAACAGCTGTAATCCTATAAATATAACTCTTTATAATATTTAAAACGATGCAGGAAGAAAATTTATGAGTCTAAATTGGACTTTAAATCAAATTGTAGGCTCCATAAGTAACGAGTAGTAAGAAAGTATAAGAGATATATTATTAAAAGCAAGCTTAAACAAAAACACTAGTTTGATTATAGACCCTAAATTCTTACCACCAAATATTAACATAACAATATAATTTAGTTATTTACTTAAAGTTAACTAAACTGGTACTTAAGCGTTCACTGTTATTTATCAAAAATAAAAATTTATAAGAGTCAACTATTAGCAATCTTTGTATCCACCAATTTATAGGTTAATTTTTCTTTACAATCAATTAATTATTTTTATAAATTATTCTTAAAATAATAAATAAATAGATCTATGAGCTTAACTTTCTACTTTTAATTTTACTTAGAGATATGTGAGTTAGGTCAAATAACTTTTTTTAATGAGCCTGTTGATTTACAACTTGTTTCTAACCAGCTTTAAAAGTAAAACCTAAGTCAATACAATTAATCAAGCTTTCAATACGATATTCTCCCTTACTCCTTAGCATCTAACTAAACTTTTAATATGAGTGTAAATTTTTTGTTTATATTATTAAAGAAACAACATCAAAATATTTAAGCCAATTTATCAAATATCCCTTAAAATTTAGATAAATATAAATAATATTTCTAAAAATTTTTAATTAATTTTAAAATAACAGAAATGTAATTAATTTATTAAAAAATATTATTTTAAAAAATAACTCCTAATTATTAAATAATATTACCATATCATTAGTAAAGAGAAATTGGATTTAATATTCCAATTTAAAATAAAATTCTTCAAAATTTTCAAATATTTATAATAATAGTTGATTTTGAATTTGAGTTCAGATAGTAAGATTACTGCCATCTAAAATATCTCAGTTAATATTTAAATTACAGATTTGTATTTGCAAATTATAGGAGGCTCAAGTCTTGTTTTAGGCTATCAAAATTAAATGGTTTTAAATACAGATTCGAGGGATTATGAAATTGAAGATCCAAATTCTGCTTCAAACATTAACTTTAGTTGGAAGTGTAATAGCCTATCCTCTAACGACCATATCTGCTATGATTACTAGAATAATTAGATTTAATTGCAACAAGGAGTCAATAGTATTACTTTTCCTGCTAAAACGTTTTAGCCATACACTGCAATTCAGATTACTGTTATAGGATAAAAAGATTCTAGGTAATCAAATTTTACCACAACTTGTATATTTACAGAATTAGATATTCCTCCACTAAATATTTTGTTAACAGCAACACACATAAACCGCAAAATTAATTTGAATGATGATCTTAATTTTTAAATAAATTATGGTGAGAATGTTTCATCTGATTATTTGTCTTATGCAGGAGCTATATTATATGATAATAATCCAGTTGCAGCAATCAAATTTGATTATTTCCAAATTAGATTCAGAATTTGGAACTATTTTTAAAATATAGATCCCTCAAAGCCAAAAATTTAAATAAGATTTTCTGTTTATAATCCATTATATGTTATGCCAAGCTTGTCGACAATTAGCATTTAAATTAATATCCCGCCTCAGAATTGTGTTTTAAGTATAAATCCCTTATAAGGAATAGCGCTTGAAACTATCTTCTAGATTTAGTTATTGAATTGTACAGATGAAGATCTTCCTCTAACTTACTAGTTCTTCTATTACAATAGTGCAGATGATGTCAGTCAAGAATTAATTTCTCCTTGGAATATTTTAAGAAGATAGATATAAGATTAGACTATAAACAACTCAATTTAAACAGTCCTACCTTAAGGAAATCTAGTTTTTATGGTACAGGTTATGGATTCTTATCTAGGAGTTTATAATACCTCTTCTACAATATAGGTTCAAGCTTAGAATAAATCATCTGATGAATATTATAAACTGGTAAATCAACTCACTTCATAAGCTTTATAGAGCTCAAATATTTAAGTCACTAACTAACTAGTGATTTTAAGCGTTATAGCAGAAGATATTAGTAAAAATAATTAAAGTTCATAACAAATGAATGATTTAGAAACTATACTGATTTAAAATATATAGCAATTGTCTTTCTAAATACCTAAATTCTCCCTTTTATCTACATTTGCGAATAAAGTAACTGCTTAGTTATCATAGCTTATCTTTAGCTCATCTTAATAAAACAATGTTACCTCATAGAAAAATAAAATATTTGATTAACTGTAAACAATTCTCCAAAATACTAATACAAGCATAAAAAATAGTAATCTGAGTCATTTACAACAAAATAATGACATTTAAATTTAAAATATGGTAGACTCTTTTAAAATTTTAAACTCAAGCGTTAGTTTGTAAAGTAATAACTCATACGAAGATTTTTAGTCATACGATAAAATATCAAATTAGATTGGAAATCTGCTTAATAATATTAGCTTACCAAACTAAGGACAAATTATTCTAAATGGTGACTTGTCCACTCTTTTGTCAGATAAAATAACATAGAAAAATCTATTCAAATATGTTGTAAGTACTGAAGATTACAATTTTGAAAATTAAACAAGTATATTTAGTATTTCAAGAAATAATTATAAGTAAAATATTTATGAAAATACTTCAGATTTTTAGGCATACACATAGCAATTCAAAAATATTAGTTAAAACTTCACTTATTCTAAGAATGAAGTAATATCACCATAGATTTATAATTCATCTTCTTAAACAATTTTAAATCAGTCGACTATTTTTTACTAATTTAATAATACAAATTCTAGTAAGTTATATAAAATGACATGCCTTTAATAAAATGACCTTTCTTGGAGCTAATAAAATTGTGGTATGACTAAAATTACTTAAAATCGCTACTTGTGCAGCTGTGCGTCTTAAAAACCAACAACCATCATTGAAGATATTGATGATATGCTCTTAAAAAATAAAAATTTGTAGACAGCATTTGGAGAATAAGGGCTATTAAATATAGCAAGCTTTGAGAACTTTTATATGTATATAATATTTTGGCTATTGATAATATTCACACTGATTGAAATTTTTTTATTTATCATTGGAAGATTCTTAGACAAATAAGCAGTATAAAAAAGATACTCAAAAGTTCATAATCAAGAACTAAATAATTAAATGTAAAATGAATAGTTATAAGAGTTGAGATAACAATAATAATAAATTGATGATAATAACTAAAATATTTGTGAAGATTCTTAAATGATAAATGACGATGTATTCCAGCACTCTCCTTTTACTCATTAATTTAAGAGTAACTAAAATATCTAACCAGAAATTTAGTATAATCAATAGATTTTATCACCTCCTGATTAAAAAATAGATAATTAATTGAATAGAAGAAGAAAAAGATAAAAATTCCTCAATTTATAAACATAACAAACCCAAAGAAACTTAAAAATATTTTAAAAACAAAATATTGAAATGAAAGAAGAGAAGGCTGAATCTAACTAATTGCAAATAATTAAATCATAATCAAGCTCTAAAAGTGTTGAAAAAATCAAAACTCAAACAAGCTCATAAACCTAAATAAAATAGGTTTAAGATGAAGAAGAAATCTAAAAAATTAATGTTTATTTGTAACTTCCTAAAGTAAAAAAGGTAGCAATTTTTCATTAATTTTTTAGTATTTTTTACATTTTTGATGATATCCTTTAAAGACCATTAAGATTCACTCTGCTTTACTTAAAAACAATACACACCTTAGTTATTTCAATATTATTCTAAGGTTATAATATGCTAATTTAGCAGGTAATAATAGCCATAATAAACAGCTCATTGATGAAGATTGCTTTTTTAGGAATTATATTTACATTCAAAAAGGGTTCAATAGGTAAAACTGTTTCTCTAGTTTTGCAAATAGTTATAAGTTTAGTTTACTACTATGTCATTTTGGCAGTATCTAGTGGTAAAACTCCAAGTGAGTCGAATTAATTTATAATCCTATTTATAATATCTTTTCTAACAGAAATGGTCTTCGTAGAGTTAATAAAGTCATTTTGTATGATTTTGCTGATTCAAAAATACATTAAATGCAGCAATGAATCCAAAAGTATTTTTGGTAAACTGTATAATTTATTTGATTTAAAATAAATAATACTTAATATTGATGATTGAGACAAATTTACATTTTTATATTTTTTGTTTTTCACTTCAAGAATATTACCTTTTAAAATTACATGTTTTAAAATAATATTAATTTTTTAGAATTTAGTTTATTTTCATAAAGTTTAATTTAAAATAATTAATTACTGTAAAGTTATAAATTACATCAGTTTATCAGTTTGATCTTTGTTTTTAGTGATGAAATTACTAATTTTTTTGATAAAAATTAAAGAAAATGCTAAAGGATAAAATTAATATTCATCTTTATTTTTAAAATAAAAACTCAAAAAAAAATTCGAACAAAAATTTAATAAAGGTTATTTATATTATTTAATTTGTGATACCTTTTTTTATTATTTTAAATATACATTAAATTTTTTAAATAATATTTACTATTCTACTAAATATTTATTTCCTACTACAGAAATAATTATCAGAGAATAGCAATTGTATAGTATAAAGCAAAAAGGTACTCTGAAAATGCTCCTAAATAAATAAATAAACTGATTGAATATGTTATCAATTAAATAAATTTTGTGGAAAACAATTCATTTTTTTAGATTTAAAACCTTAAGAGAAGTCAATAGAAACAATAGAAATATTTTTTATTTATTTTATATATAAATATTTTGATCAAGAATGAAAAGAAATTAGAAGTAGACTTTTTCCAGATTCTAGTAAGTCTAATAGTAGTGGCACTTGGTTTAGAAGTTTACTTCAAATTAAACTTTTTTTTATCATTCTGAGGAATTTTTGTTTCCTCTTTAGTTTTTAAGTTAGAAACTTTATTCATCTTATTTTTTGTATAGTTAATTAATTGCAGAACTACAAAATAATCAATATTTATTTATTTATTTATTAATCAATCTATCAATTTAAAAAATACAAATATGACTAATAAGTATTAAATATAAGCGCTATATTAGACTAAATATCAACACTATTATTTTTCTTCAAGTACAATTATTCATTTCTTTAATAAACTGCTTAGTTTTTATGTTTTTTTAGCAATTTAAATGGAAAAATAAATATTTGTTTTTTATTTAAAATTAAAATAATTCTAATTAATCATTTTTAGAAACTTACTTTTAACATTTTTACTATTAAATTTTAAATATATTTTTATTAAAATTATTTTATATAAAAAAATCAAAACAATTTTTGAAAGTAGGTAGATAAAAAGATTAAAATAGAAAAATATAAAATTTAGTGTTTAAAATATATTTTTGTTTTTTCCAAATAAACAAACACAACACTAATTAAAATAAAATGTATCATTAAATATTTTTATAATTATTTAGTTTAACTTTTTTTTATTTGCCATTCAATCAATATACTTGAAAAAAAATTAGTAGGATAAATATTTCTAATATCCAATAATTTAATAATTCATAATATTTTTAGAGTAAAAAAGTGATTTAAAGTCTTCACTCTAATATATTTCATTAAGTTCTGCATGCATATTAATCTCAAGTAAATTAAACTAAATTTAGTATTTATTACACATCTTATTTATTTTTTTCATCTTTGTTGATTTATTAATTTATTTAAAATATAATTTTTTTTTTAATTATACTTTTACCAATTTTCATTTTTTATTTCCAAAAATAAGTTTTTTTAATTGTTTTAAATTATTTTTAATTTTTACTTTAAAAAATTGATTTATTCATTTCTTATTATTTTTCTTCATTTTTTCCTTAAAACCACACTTTTTATTTATTTTACTAAATATTTATAAAGCTGAAATAGTTTTGGCTATTTTCATATTATCTCATCATTTTTCTTAGTATTTTATTCTAATTAATTAAATAATTAAATTTTCTCTTATGTTTAAAAATTTACAATAAATTGATGAGGAAGGTATGTAAGTTTAGTCTCTAGAAAAAACAGTTTATTTATTTTGCATCATGATATTTTTTAATATTAAAACTAATTTAAGACAATAAAACACTTTTTATTTTATTTATTTGTTTATTTATTTATAATTTGGTTATTAATTTTGATTGTATATTTTTTATTTTCAATATTTACATTATTTAGTTATAAATTAATTAATTTGTTGGTATTTAATATTTTGTATTAACTTTTTTTTCTAAGTAATGAACTAAATTTTTTTCAAAAGAGCTAAAATGTCTTTCTAAAATATAGCTATTGATATGGAATTTTACTTTTTTTTTTGTAAGACTTTTTTTTATTTTTTAATATTATTTTTCTAGGAGGAAATTATTTAAATAAATTTAGATGAATAATATTTATTTTTAATTTTAAAAGTTAAAGATTTCAAAATTTAGGGTTCCCTTTTCCAGTTGGTTGAGATTTCGAAGGATAGGGTAGTATTAATTTGTTCGAATGTAAATATCACTTAAGATCAAATTGTAGATTGGATCTTTAATTTAGAACCAAATAGAAATATTAATTAATTTTCACCTAATAAATGATTACATTATTTTTATTATTTATATGATGGATATTCATTCTATCTATTTATTTAATACATAATTCTTTATTGGGTCTAAGTTATTTTAATTTCACGCTTTAAAGTTAAAAAAACATAATCAATAATTTACCATCCTCTTGTATAATAATAACTAAAACCATATAACTCCATTTTTAAATCTTCATTCAACCTTTCATGAAAGTAATGAATACTAAGAGAGTGTTACTTGTTAAGAATGAGATGAAAATAAATCCTAAAATTTAGTTTTTAATCTCCATTAATGTGATGAATTAGATTAATTGTTTTTATTTTCAAACTGAAATTTTAGGCATTATGTATGTTAAAAAATAAATTATTTTATTTAAAAATAGATAGCATTTCTTTTTATTTCAGTTTTTAAATAGATTTATGCAATTTTTAACAATCTCTTATTGCCATTAGATAGTTATATGTTTGCTTTATTTATTTACCTCCATTTTTATTAATTGTTCATTAGATTTTATATCAAATAATATTAGCAAAATTACAAAAACAAAGAGTAAAGATTATTAAATTAAATTGTTAAAAATCTTATATATTTTAAAATTGAAGGAAAATATAAAATGAGTGTATGTATTCATTAGTTTAGTTAAAACTTCTGCTTTACATTACAAAAATTTAAAGCAGGATTGAGCTTTCAAAAATAATCAGATTAATTGATTACTATCTAAAATAATCTAATTCTTCTTAGTAATAATAAAATGCTTCACCAAAATTAATTTATTATCCATAAGAAAAACTAGAACTAAATTTTTTGACATACATGTAGCTAATAATTACATAGAATCGAAGTTTAATTACTAGTTTATAAAATTATTTTAATAAGATGATAATATTTTAAAAATTGAAGGAAATTATTTAAATGAATTTATTCATTTATTTATTTGTTATGTAATAGCTACTGCTTTATTTTTGAAAAATAAAGGCAGAATCAAGTTTTAAGAAATAATCAGATTAATTGATTATTATCTGTAATCATCAAATTCTTTTTTAATAATAATAGATAGATAGAATGTGTCTTACTCTTTCAAAAGCACGCAGAAAATCTTAATTTAAATAGAAATACTCTGTAATTAAAGAAAATAATGAGTCGCTTAAAGCTTTCATTGACTTATAATCATTTAGAGCAACTTTTAAATCTCCAACCCTTCTAATATCTATAACTTTTAATTAAATGGTTATCTTTAAGAATTTTGTGGCTAAAAACAGCTTTATTAGGGTTTATTTAGTTAAAATTAAAATATAATGTAAGATAAATTCACATGGCATTAATTTATGTTTTATTTGCTTGGTAACCAATATTAGAATAACTTATTAAAAAAGGCTTAAGATATCAATTTATCTTATAATATTTAATTAATCGCAAAAAATTATTAATCTAAATACCCTTAAAATAAATTGGAAAACAATGAAAACTTAGAAAATTAGATCATTTCTATTGGTTATTTTACAAAGTCTAATTTTTGATTTATAAATTATGTAAAAAAGAATTTATTTATTTTAATAAATAAATAGTCTTAAAATACTTATATGCAAACTAATGGTCAAATTGCAACGAATCATTATTTAATTCAGTAGGTTTAAATCCTCAATGTAAACTTATTTTGAATTATTGTTTAATTGTTAAATCATATTTTATAAACTTAAGTTAGTTATTGCATAATAAATTATGTAATGCCTGCATAATAATCTGACATAGACAGCTACAAAAAATATTTCTCAGACATGAATTGCTTAAATTTAAATGTTTTTTCATATTACAATCAAAATTTATTATCAGGGAGTAATTGTAATTCAAATAGTGATGTAATAATAGAATATACTCCTTAAAACCCGTAAAAAAATAATTTACAAAAGAAAAATTATGATTGAAATATTAAAATATTTTCTTGATCAAAAATTAACTTTAGATTAAATTATTTTTAATATTAAAAATATAATTCACTATATTTTTAATCTTTTAATTTGTTATTTTAATATTTTTTCAAAATATTTTTTTAATAAATAGGAATACAATTATAAATTCGTATTATTTTTTATATGACATTGAAATGAATATGCCTCATACCTAAGATTTATAATCGATAGTTGAAATAAATAAATTATTTTATCAAACTTAAGCTGGATATATTTCATTAGGTTTAAGTTAGGAATATTCTTATAATTCTATAAGTATGCTTAAGAAATAATAAAATGTAGATAGCTTAACAATTAAAATAACACCATTTAATAATAATAATATTGGGAAACAATATCAAATTTATTTTTACTCAATCCGTCTCTTGGTATAATTGGTAAATTTAATTATTAAATTTGTTAATAGAGAGAAGCATATTATATTCTTGATTAATTTGAATATTATGATATTATTTAATTGAAATTAAGGCTAGACCTAATAGACATTTATTGAAAAAGTCTGAATAAATTTATTTGATAATTTTTTTTGCTGAATTCAAAGTTTTTCGATTTTATAAAAAAATTTTCATAATTTTAGCTGAATAATAATTTTTATCTAAATAATATAAATTTGTTAAAA